AAACTGAACTTTGTGTCAGAAAGTTTGACGCCTCTGGGCTTTTGAGGCTACGTGTTTGTATTTTATTAGAATAGTCTAGAACTTTTAGATTATTCATGTCCGAAATAATGAATATGGAGAAGAGTTACGTAATACATATCAAGCAATAAACGCGCGCGACAGAATATTAAAATATTCCTTCACGTATGTATTCATGTATAATATAGATATAGGTACTAAGTCTGTTGTGTGTAGAACTGTACTTTCCTATAAACTCTTTGAGCCTCGTCTTAAAGCCGGATTACATTCACATATTTTATACATAAAATAGGTTCGATATGACAACAATATTATTTCAGTATTCTGTGACCAGCTAACCACAGAGTAGCTGTCACTTTATAAGAAAATTTTGTACAACTACGTTAGTTATTTGTTCATTAAAGTAGTTCAAAATAATAAACTAGACTATCTTACAGACAATACCTTGAAGTGACCCAATCGTTGTTATTAAAATGACGCTACAGAACAGTAATGCAACATTGAACGACTTTCTATCAACAACATTGAATTCAGAAGTCAGTCCTGCACCTGCCTTAGTATTTCAAAGATCAGTGTTTTACTGGAATTGGCGAGATGGTATATACATTTTAAAGTTAATTTATACATACAAATCTCTACTTCAATATAAAAGATAACATATGTATTTCCCCACACCTTTGACTCTATAAATAGCCACGATATACTTTCGCATGCCCCTGCTGCCGACAGGAGCACAGCACGTGAGGATGTCACGTGACTTGCGCGCAGTTTTTTAACCGACAACGAATATAGACAAAGTATATAGTCCCGTATGTTGATAGGAACACGTGTCTCATCTCCAGCTCACGTGTCGTCAAACGTCAGAAAATAATTACACTGACGACTTCTATTAATAATAAACGGAGATTAGCCTCACAATTTGAGAAGTAAAGAGTTATGATGGCACAAGATGTAATCTCTCATATAATTGTGTAATAAAGTTAACATTTGTAAAATTCTTGACTACGCAAATACAATAAAACTATAAAAGAGATATGAGGGGGCGGGCGACGGGTGACGGGCGCCGACTGGTCCACTCTAAAATGTAATCGATGGCTTTTTATAACAATCGTAAAGTTTGCAACGCTCCAGCGGTAATGCGCTTTACGACTCATGTACAGCGAGATTTATTTGATACAAATAGATAAATGGATAAAGGCAATAACCACTCACGCGATCACAGAAGAAATAGATTTTTAGATTTCAGTATTGAACTCTCCTATTGCTTCTACAAACTTCTACTAATTTATCATAACTTTGACAACTAGAAACTAGTGTTACCTTCGGAAGCCTAATAATATGTATGCGTCTAATAAGCTCTATGACTCGTAAGTAATAAATGACCTTACGTGTGTCACACACTTGTCCTATTCACAGTGGATATCTTAATTCATCTGAATGTCGCGCGATGCCATGATGTTTCCCCCTCGTTATGTCGGTACTTATCCGTCAATCAAATATTTATACAAATTGCCGGCAATTTTATGGTTTCTGTTTAACAGATTATTGTTGCTAATGTTATTTCCCGGTACTTGTGGTTTATTTTCGTAGAGTTATCAAATAAATATTAGTATAATAGTACTTTTTTATCAGATCAGTAAAAGTAACAAAGCAAAGTCGTAATAAAACGTGATACATTCAAGTTTCTAGTGTTCCTACAGCATAGTCTAACGGACTCTCATTTTGTGTAAAATATGTACTGTCATTATGTATATTTCCTGGTACAAAAACATCCCAGTAACAGTTGTATCCATCATGTCGCAGTTTATGCATGCGTCATCCTGAAACAACTGAATAGTTTCCGGCGCCGGGTGCAGGCGCGGACGGTAGCAGGCCGCGGCGACTCTCGTGTGAACACATTACGCAAATGACACCGTGGCGATGCTTCCGCGACGTGTGTGGCCAACATGCCCGCACATCTATAATGTGGATTATAAAGATAATTCGAAGGAAAAACATGGCCATAGACAAACTTGCGTCTATTTAATAGAAGTCAAAACCTACCACATTCGCAAACATGACAAGGTCTTATACGATTGCAACGTCTTTATTAACTATTCTATTTTTGCATTGAGAGGTCGTGACAATTTACTAATCAAAGAGTACTGCGTCCATAACCTGCCGCAACAATCTTATAAATAAACTGTTTGATGTTCATACGCACAAATAACGCAGTAATCTTAGTCATCCTGCCATCTATTCAATAATGTTTCAAACTATGTGTAAGTAAAATGGAACATTAAAATATTGTCCTAAAACATTTCAGGATAATTTGATTTCTTATCACGACGGTCCGCTACACTTATGATATCAAATAACAAATGTAACGACATAAGTTTCATTGGTCCGTCGACCGTCGACCCGGGGACGTCGTCCTCTCCGCTGTCGTTAACCTGATATTTTAATCTTTGCTTTTACTTATATCTCATTCTATACAATTTATAAACTTGTGTCAGGTATATATTCATTCAGAATCTATTTATTAAATCTTAAGATTTAAAATTGATTAATTGTAATATACATTTTGCCTATTATTAAATTAACAATAACATTAAAGTACCGGCTCGATTGTTTCCTATGTAATGTTGGGAAATCGCACAAACAATTTGTACACGTGATACAACAAAAAATGTGGTCACTTTAACTATTCTCTAAATGCAATTAATTTGATGACGTGAGTCTTGTTTTGCAAATCGTCAGTTCACGAACGTTTACCTCAAAATACAATAAAAAAGCTCCCGTGTAAATTATAAACACACGGACCCACACGTGACTAGGTTTTGTATAAACGCATTCATAATATAAAATTTTAATACATTTATATCACGTGTAATAAGCGTGACCTTATCACCGTACGTCTAACAATTATACACAAACAAAATTCCTGTCGCACATAATACCTTTTATTGTAGATAATCAATCGGCAATCGGAGTTATGAGCTTCTAGTACCTAAAGTAGTTCAAAAACTACGTAGTTACCTCACATATCAACTCCGCTATAATTCAGAGTAAATAAAGAGGCAATCTGAGATCACTATCTCCGTTACGGAACTAATTCATTTTTATATATGTAGGAGCAAACAGGAGGCAGGCCTCCGCGCCGTAGCAAAGTCTGCACACATATTGCATTGTGCCGAGGTAAGCTCTGTGCTAACTAAATAAATATATGATTAGCTCCTCGTGTTAATAATTACGTGCTATTAAATGACCAAAACTTTGATGTCACGAATCATAGATCCACGAGAATATATGTGACTTTATTCTTTATTTTTAACTAGTCTATTATGCTTGTTTAAATTATTATCGCGCGTGCATCAGATACTGCCTTCTGTATGTTTAATTTAGTAATTTATTTTTTTACTTATTTTAATTAACATATAATTATATTTATTGTATTATGTTAATTTGAGCGCAATGTAAATAAAACTAAAATCATTAAGAAATTGACTTATAAGTTTTGGAGATCCTTTTACATTGTTGAACATATATTGTAAAATGTTTAGTAGTTATAAATTAACCATTCATAGTTCATAGACACGAAGCGGAAACGTTGACGGAAGGAAGTGCTTGTGCACGTAATTACCAATTAGTTATGATAATCATCCGGCATCCGTATTCATAGCTCACCTTATGTCATCTGTAATCGTTATCTCTTGTTGATTTACATGTTCTGCTGAGATGTCTGATAAGACATAATAAACACTTTGTTGAATCATACTGTATACTGTCGATGATGATATTATATAATATTATAATCCATTATTAAGATCCATTACTAAACATCCATATTCGAGTAGCGTTTCACTTTATTTCTATTTATTACTCTTGGGTCACTCATCTAAAATTGATGACCTGCAGATCAGATTAAGGTTCACATGTATGAAGCAGATCAATGTACAGGTTCGCATCTCAACTCTATTTGTACCTGTACCGTTATGATTTGCGTTTTGAGCAGCGAACTGCTACTGAACGAGGAGCTCGCGACTCGTCGGCTGTAACAGTTATAATACAACGCGATGAGCCGTACGCTGCCAAATTAGTTGTGCCGTAGCTCAACAATTCAAGTCTACATGACCTGAACTATTGAATCGGTTCAGAGCTGTTTTACATAAGTAATGTAAGTAATTCATGTATTTTACATGAACACAAATTTTGACACGAATGTATAGATTTCACTCAGCATAGATATCACGCATCAGAGAAGAGAGAATGTCTGTCGTCAGACATAATATAGTGCTTTTTAGATTTTCAAAAAGTTCGGAACCACATTAATACAAGTTATGAACGAAGAATAGCAAAAGTTATGTGTTAAAAAAATAATCTAGATAAAGCTAAAAGCGAGGCAGCTCGATAGGCAATACTTTGTGGTCAGCTCGTGTTACTGAAATGAAGTACAAGCTATACTTGGAATCATTGCTTCTATAAATAAAAAATATATTTATTTACATATATTTAGAAAAGTATAATCAGTTTCATAATAAACTGATTCGTGTAAACTATATGAGTTTTCTTAGTTCAATTTGGACTTCCTCTTCAGTAACAATTCTAAAAAAAATGGTTTTTAAAATAGCATGTACTAGGTGTCACCCGCGACTCCGTCCGCACGGAATTAAAAAAATCTTAATTAGCTACCATGTTTACCTTCCAGACTATGTCCTATATGTATGCCAAATTTCATCGAGATCCATTTAGCCGTTCTGCAAATATCTTTAAAGAAACATCCATCCATCTAAATATTCGCATTTATAATATTAGTACAATTAGACAGATCATAATTTGTGTTTTAGTTGTATTACAATATCATTTTAACCATAATTTTTTACCTTTCCTTATTTTCCATTCAAAGGTTTGTAGCCGAGATTTTGAATCAATTTAAACATTTTAGTGAATATTTTCAGATGTTTTCAAGTACGTTAATAATAAGGAATAAGTAAAAGAAAACATTGTATTTTTTTTGTGTATTTTATTTTAAGGCTTAATAATAAATGGGTGATCTTAGATTCTTGAAGGATACAACATCTGAAACAAGACAAAAACTCTGTTAAACATTGTATCAAAAAACATGACAGTTATTTAATTGCATCATTGAATCAGTCAATTTGTGATCCACATAAATGAATTCAGGTTTCAAATGTCTTGCCATCATTTCAAAATATCTCTAAATATAATTTAAAACATAGAAAAAGAAACAGGTATTTACAAGTAATAAGCAAACATTTTAACTATAACAAAAAAATTGTTGTAACAATTACACTATTTCATATTCTATATCTGAGATTTTTCTTTTTAAAAATAAGAAAGATCACAAGCCCCATTAATGTACAAAATCTGGATGACCAAGCTTTGCTCGGTATTTTTTTTTTAAATTGTGTTTTTTGGAAATTATATTTAAGTACGTATTAATAAAATGATGAAATATGAATAATATTTTTCCACCTTACCGATAGAAAAAGTTAAGTTTATGTTTAAGCTGATTATCGATAAAACATGAATAAAATAACATTTTCAAAATGATTCCTAGCTAGATCGATTCATTGCCCCTGAAACCCCCTATATACTAAATTTTATGAAGATCGTTGAAGAATAGAGAAGATAAGATTATTACCAATTACATGACCACCTTTGAGGAAGGTGATCCTTGAAAGATTCTAAGTGGTAATGTTGTTAAATAATATAACAGATATCAGAGATGTACTGACCACACGTATCCTGTGTCCCATGGCGTGCGCGGGCAGGTTGGACTTGAAGCGGGCGCGTACACCGCCAGAGTTACCATGCGGCCTCGTCACCTTGCCCCAGATGGCGCGCAGTTTCGTCTTCTTACCGCGGGGACCGCCAGCGATGGGGGTCCTCTTCTTAGCCCTGCATTTTTTACAAAAGTTTTTTTAATGAAGTTATGGTTTAAATACAAATGCCTTGTCTGAAGTTTGCAAGAATTTATATAATTTGTCATCAGTGCCGCTCCACTCACAACACTTCAATGACAATGACCAACAAATCATATGTTAAAAGATGAATGAAGAAAAGTGTTAAAACTCAACAAGACACTTGAATGATGATTTGATATACAATTTACCCAGGCAAAACTAATATTTAGAATAAAATGGTGCAATTTATTCCATACACTTATAGTTTTTACTTGTCGCTTTAAAATTATTAAAAGTGTCATCACCACTTGTACAACTGCTAAAACACTACAGATACAGGTGGTATTGTATTGATAAAATATTATAAGTCAAACTCACCTGTATACAAAAACACACTTTTTGCCGGCATAGAAGATGGCATCATCTCTGCTGCGAGAACCTTCCACCTGGAATTGAGACAATAACTGTGTAATAAACTAACTATTATTGTTGACTTAACATCTGATGATTGATAAGTCAGTTGTAAAGTTGACCACATTGTTGTTTCAGGTTTCAAATGTCTTAGGCATCATATGAATTAGTATAGATAAAAGCATTTAGACAAAATATTCATTCATAATATGTATGTTCTATTTATTCTATAGTTATAATATAGGATTATGTATTTACTATTATTATCTTATTCCACTTAACATATTTTAACAAAAATGTTGATTGTTAAACATTTAAACAACTAAACAATTTCACATTTGTTTTAAGACAAACATATGGCTGACTTGCTGGAAAAGGCTTTACAAATGTATTTACTACCCGGACCCTAAAAACACAAACTTTAAAACTATCCTATACTAACCTTCAAAAGAGCTGTGTTTTCATGTTGGTTACGCAGACCACGTTTGTATCCTGTGAAGACAGCCTTAGCATAAAGTCTGCCATGACGAGGTTTGGAGTTCACTTTGCGGATCACCTTGGCGGGCTCGGCCGGTGCCGCAGGAGCAGCCTTAGCGGCCTTCTCCTTAGGAGCCTTTGTTTTAGGCGTTTTCGCCTTAGGCGCTGTCGACGGTGCGTCAGCCATTCCTAAAACACCGTAAAGTTAACCTCTAAGCAAGGAACACCTAGGTTATGTTGACATCTGAAGACTATGTTAATCTGAAATAATCGGCTTCAAAACGATCTATCCAACATAATTTTATATGCCATGGGATTTATTAATAGCAGCACTTTATCTATTGGTGTTTATTTTTGTAAATATTTTATAAATAATTGCAATAATATCACAATTTAAAACACTAACCCGACACTTTTTTATTTGTTGAAGTGAAAGAAAGGCGGTGTTGCCATTTTCAATAAACTACAACTCTACCAAAATTTTAAACTGTCAAAATAATTGCCACTTAAAATTAAAAAAAAACACCAATTCTTTTAAAAAATATCTAAATCTTAAATACTTGACATTGTACAGAAACCATTATTAAATGTAAATGGATAAACCTAATGCCCAAGAATATTACCAGCCGTGGCTCTGATAGTTTTTATTTTATATACTCTTCGGTTTTTATTTTTTCTTATAAATATTAACTAAAAACTGAAATTGTAAAATAATCTGTATCAAAAATCCAAAGTTTAAAAAAAACAACAAAATTTGACGTTAAGATTTTAAAGTAATAGAAATAAATTTTAATAAATATTCTTCATGAAAATCACATTCATGATTTATGAAATTGACATCCTATTAATAATTTTTAAACGTATCTGTCTTTGGAATACCAAAATATTCTGATTTGGACCAATCAGAACAGACCACGAAAAGAGACGAAGGAAAGATGGATTGTAGCTCTGTCAAATAATTAGTTTATTAGTTTATATTGTAACTGATTTGCTTTAATTTGTGATAAGCAGTGCTCTAATTAAATTATAATGGACTACTTATTAAATGTAAACTGGAACAAAATCACCCCTTGCCTTGTTTTATTAGTGCTAGAAGTAGTTTTAGATTGTAAGTTTGGTTTTATTTTTATGATGAAGATAAGTTATTTTGAAATGTGTGGGACGTGTCTTGAAATGTTTTTGTGGTGAAGTTTCAGAATGCGCTTCGCAAGCTGAGGTCAATAAGCACCTGGAGCTGGGTAGAGATTTCTTGGCTCGTGGTCAGCTCTCAGACGCTCTGACACACTATCATGCGGCTGTCGGTCAGTATGTCACCTTACTAATACCATCCTTCTCAATTCTCAATATAATATCCATTGTACTACTTGTTATAATTCAATAATTCAAGGTTAGATCTGAAAGTATACATAAAAAATAAACCAACAATATCAGGTTTTCTCAGTCGTTTTAAAGTAATTCGTTCTTACAAACTTTTAGTAACTCACTGGAAATAAAAATTTTGTGTATTTGAATATTATGTTCCATCTAAAAATTTCAAATTTTATTTTGCACATTAAATATAATGTATAGTCATATATATGTATTTTTATATATTCTGGCTATATGTGTAACATTTTTTGTTGTAGTTTCATTGTTATCTTATCAAAGTATTATTGAGTGCAAAGAGTGGGAGATATGATGCAATGCATATATTTAACAATTTAAATGTTATTATATTACAGAGGGGGAACCAAACAACTACCTCACATATTTTAAAAGAGGCACAGTTTATTATGCATTGGGAAAAGCTAAATTTGCTCTTCAAGACTTTACTAAGGTATGTCAAAAATTTCTGATTTCATGATGATTATTTCTTTCTCTGGTGTTGTCGGTCATTTTAATAAATCTCTGAAACATGAATAACTTTTTAATGGACTCATTCTTTTTAAAGGAATACATCATGTTTTTTTTATTGGTTTTATATGATTACTGGATTTAAATGTTCCAGGTTTTGGAGCTGAAACCAGATTTCACGGCAGCTCGGTTGCACAGAGCCAATGTATATGTTAAGTTAGCAAAGTACTATGACGCTAAGGAGGATTATTTACAAGTTGTAAGTGTTTCTAATAGATTTTGTTTATTTTTTAAGTGTTGTGTATTTTTGTAATCATTATATTGTTCTTTCTATAAATTGCATCATTTTATGCATCAAAGTAAAATTGCAATGTGTAAAATTAAGACAAAAGATATTTGTGAGTGTTGTCAAGAGATTTTGTTATTGATGTATATAATTATTAATGTATATATTTATGTGTTAATTGATTTAGATATTACAGAACAGGCCATAATGAAAAGATAATTTGCATTACTTATTATGCAATATATTTTAATATTATTATACAGTTACAGCAAATGTTGGATGGATGGAATTTGGCATAGATGTAGAACATAGCCTGAAAGAACATATAGGCTTTTTTTAATAAGTTTTTTTTATTTCTGTGCTAACGGAGTCGTGAACCAGAGCTAGTATTATTACACAATATGTAACTATGTTATGCAAGAAATACTAAATATGGTCTTTATCTTTTCAACTTCTCCACTTCCAAATTACCTCCTACCTTAGGCTTAATGATATAGTAATGAATAAATATGTGATATCAGACATATAGTGAGCCATACAATGAAGAAGCAGTGAGCCAGTACCACGCCATGGATGGTCTGGCGGAGGAGCTGCGGCTGGCGGAGGCGTACTACCGCGGCGGTGACATGCGCGCGGCCGCCGATCTCGCCACCAGGCTGCTGGAGATCTCCCCCTGGGCGGCACAGCTGAGGCAGCTCCGGGCTGAGTGCTATATCTCAATGGTGAGTACAATATGTGCTTATACTGTGTTTTAAATCTGATATAAATGAATTGTATGTAACATTGAAGTTAATATAAATTGGAAAATAATTCCCCAAAGCAAGCTTATTGAGTTTCGGATCTGGCTATGAATGTATTAAATATGTATGTTATTAGTTCAGTACAAGTTATATTTGTGTGTTTGCAGAACGACCTGTTTTCAGCGGTGTCAGACATCAGGTCGGTGAACCGTCTGCAGCAAGACAGCACGGACGGCTACTACCGCCTCGCCACGCTGCTCTACCAGCTGGGACATGTTAACGATGCGCTCAAGGTAACATTAGTTTTTATTAAAGAAGTATTCGTAGAATGAGCATCGTTGTGGGTGTTCCTGAGGTGTAGAAGATTTCAATATTTTGTAATTATAATACAAGTGCACGATTGCAGGAGATCCGTGAGTGTCTTAAGCTGGACCCGGAGCACAAGAAGTGTTTCCCGTTGTACAAGAAGGTAAAGCAAGTGGACAAGCTGGTGTCGGGATGCGAGGAGGCGAGCGAGGCGCGCCAGTTCACTCGCTGCATCGACAGCGCCAACAAACTGCTCAAAATTGAACAAGAGGTGACGCTCGTCGTCTTCGAGGCCAACCGGTGGCTCTGCAGCTGCTACTCCAAGGTATTCTAACGACATTCCAACTTTATATCCACTTCTGGTCAGCTGCTAGAGCATAGTGCGTCTCATATTGTGCACAACTTTAATATTTGTATCAAATGTTGTAGTTGTTTTGTTAGTTTAGTGTATGTATGTATGTATGTATGTATGTGACAGGAGGAGCAGTACACGGAGGCGGTGAGCGCGTGCGGGGCGGCGCTGGCGCTGCAGAAGGACGCGCGCGTGCTGTGTGACCGCGCTGACGCTCTGCTCGGACTCGAGATGTATGATGATGGTGAGCATTGCACTGTTTCCACATCCACGCTGATTATATCAATTGTCTAAGCGTTTCTATTAAACAAATATTATTTTTTTGAGGAAAATGTTAAATGTGTGTGTATTGCAGCGATCCAGTCGTACAAGCAGGCGCTGGAGCTGGAGGAGGGTCTGCAGCGCGCCAAGGACGGTCTCAGCCGCGCACAGAAGCTGCAGAAGCAGTCCGAGCAGCGGGACTACTACAAGATACTGGGGGTCAAGAGGTACACACACCGTCAATACTTTATAGGACATAAATATATCTCGTAGTACTCCGTGTCATGTGTATGTATGTATGTTCCCGGCAGGTCTGCGAGCAAGCAGGAGATTATAAAGGCGTATCGCAAGGCGGCGCAGAAGTGGCATCCCGACAACTACCACGGCGACGACAAGAAGATCGCAGAGAAGAAGTTCATTGACGTCGCCGCCGCCAAGGAAGTTAGTATTCCTACGTTACATTGTATAATAGATTATGTTTAACACTAGTAATATATTATTTAAGTAATCACTAAAAAACTAAGCGAGGTTTTTAGTGAGATATAATAAGATTGGCGCAGTTTTAATATAGTATTATATATATTTGTGTGCAGGTGCTGACGGACCCGGAGAAGCGCGCGCAGTTCGACGCAGGCTCCGACCCGCTGGACCCCGAGGCGCAGCGTCAGCAGAACTTCCACCACGGCAGCCCCTTCCACCACTTCCAGCACGGCAGCCCCTTCCAGTTCAAGTTCCACTTCAACTGAACACCTCGCACTTCTCACCTACATCTACATCTAGACTGACTTTCCAGATCCACAGCAAAGTAGTTCAGTTCGAGTCGAGATAAATTCTTGTGAACATTTGTTTATTTATGAATCAGTTTAGTTACAAAATGGTGCATACAAATGTTAACAGAACATTGTATGCAAGTCCTGCAGCTCGCAGCTCGCAGCTCGCAGCAGCATGCAGCATGCAGTGCGCCGCGTGCCTTCTCATACATTATAATAACTGCGCATCTTGTATATACATTGATATCGTTTCTTATAAGTGTTGCTAATTCTTTTGGAAGTAAAGTTTATTTTATATAATGTACACATCGCATCGCGACTGTTGTATTATAATTTGTTAAAATCTAGATAACTATTTAATATCTTAGTACAGTACATCATACATCGCGTCATGTTGAGAACATTGCAGCAACATATGAAATTCGTTAAAAATTAATTATTTACTAATTAAAATGCATTGAATTCCTTGTTTTGTGATATTTTATCTCGATCAGTGTGAATTAGTAACATCAACTTAATAATTTATTTATATATATGCGGTAAATGTATCTCTCTGAATGAGTTCTTGTTAGTAATGTGTATCACTGACCTGTTGTAGGAAAGCTAGAATAACTTCAATCTGTTATTTTATAAACTGACGCAATTATAGTAATACAATAATAATGTTGTTGCACATCTCACTCGCTGATTATATTTTTCATGTATTTTATTTCAATTATTTATGATTCAGTTTGTTGATGTTAAAAAATATGTTCTCTTTGTTTACATTTAGTACAAAATATACGGCATTTTATTTCGTTCAAATTCTAGTTTGCAACAAAAATATATTTAATTATGAAATAATTTGAAATAATTTTGTTTGTATGTTTTGTTGTGTATTTGTGTGAACATTTAATTAATTGTTATTTTGGATTTGGCTTGAACATGTTAACTAAAACTAAACAAAACTAAACTAAAATACAATACACAGCTGCTAATTATTTATTTATTATAAAATATAACATCGATGTAATATGACCTAGTCTCAGAAAGTATCGAGTTGTTTGTGTGTTTGTGTGTTTGTGTGACAGGAGTTTGTGTACATTTTGTATATTGTAGCGTGAATAGAATGCGGCCGATGTGCTTTTTTATTTAATTATCCGTCTCAAATGAATCTTAACGAGGTAAAAATCGCCTCGACCGCATTCTTGATGGGGTTCACTTTCATACTTAACTTGTTTCTTGTCATACGATGAAAGATGGAACTCTCGCAAAGTAACTCGCGACTGAGTAGTATCCGGAGTTTGAGTTGGCACGTTGGACTTGAAAGAACTCTCGTTCCCGACGTGCCAACTTAAAGGCTAGATGCTTTATGTACTTTTCATATAGAGAGGTTAGTTTGTGAGAGTCCACGTGGTGTGTGTCTGGCGGCCACAGCAACAACACTCGCTTTATAACCTCAAAGTCAGAGTTAGATGTTAGTAAGGAAGTCAATGTAAAGCAATGCGAGTGCTCGTCGGTCACGTGGCCGCCGCTCGCACACCTCTATATAAATATATTTATTTTGTATAAGTTACTTTGTTGTGATTCTTATCTAACTTTGTAAATATTATAGAATTATAAGCTATTACAAAACACGTGTTTTCTTTTATTTGCAATATAATTTCAGTCTTTATCAGCAATACACATATTTTACACAATTGCTTCGCGAAGAATTTGCTCGTAAATATAATTTAAATAATAATTTCCATCCATTCGATACAAACATACATCCTCTTAATTCTATATATTTGATTACGTTTCTATACACAGAAGTAAATCCGCGGAGTCAGTACATCACCGCAGTTGTACTGGAGTCGATGCAGAACTTTTCGCTCATTAAACGTAATATAGTCAAATGTCTTTCTTTACAAATGTCTATCAATCAGGCGGATTTAACGTTTTTTCCACATCTGTGATAAATTGACGATATTTGCTACGACTGCAACACAAGTGTTCCTTATGTTAATCATTGTTCCAGAAGATTTTGATGTCCTTTTTCTCGTCCAATGATTTAAGAATCCGAGCGGCTCTTTGTATGTCGTTGCCGAGCTTCTCCTTGTCGTCCTCCTTCTGACAGACGTAGCGCTGGCGCAGCGCACAGTCTCGTCCGCGGTACACGTAGGTGCCGCCGGCGGGGTCATGCGCTAGTGCCAGGCACCGCCCCTCGCCCACGATACTGGTGCCATTGGTGCCCCCGGTGCTGTTGCCCTCCACCGGTCGCGCCGAGTGCGACCAGATCCACAGCAGCCCGGGGTTCAGACCACCCGTCCAGAAGTCGTCACCTGAAACATCATCAAGTACTTAAGACATAAAAATCATTCGTAAATATGTTTTTTTTAGGTTTTTTATGTACCTCTAAGATGTTTGTCGGCGAGCACGGCGGCGAGCATTTGCCGCTTGGCGGTGGGGTCGGGCAACTCGAGCAGCGCCGCACGTAGCTTGCGGCAAGCCAGGTTGGCGCCCTTCCAGTCCAGCGCCTGCGCCGACCAGTGATAGCAGCCGCCGCCCACGCGCGTGAAGTTAGCCGCGCATGGCTCTATAACAAAAACACGGCTCTGTGACACATGCTCAATATGCGAGTATGTATGAATTATACACAATGAAGAATATTATAAGTGGTACCCGGTCTGGCGTCGACGCCGGCGACCAGGTAGTGCACGTTCTCTTCCATCCTGCGTAGGCGCTTCTCCATGAGGTCGACGCGGTAGACCAGCTTCTCGATTGCGCCCAGCAGGTAGAGGTCGGTCTCGGAGACCTGCTTGCGCGGCGGCGAGTCCACGCGGTCCGCGGCCGGCCGCTGCGGACGGTAGTTCGGCGGCGGCGGCACAGGCTGCAACATACGTACACATCTTTTGATCGAGGCTGAGCTCCTGAGTCAATATTTATTGTTAAATTATTTTACTTCTTGTACTCACGTAGCTAGGCCTGAAAGTATCGTATGCGTTGGGCCTATTCACGATTTTGCCTCCCGCCGCGGGGGGCTCCCACTCATTGTAGCTGGGAGGTGGTCGTAGAGGACCAGGGGGTGGCGGAGGCATGCCTCCGCCCGGCGCACGCGGCGGGTAGACGTCGGGGGGCAAATCTTCATATGCCCCGGAGGGGCCCTGCGGCCTCGGTAGCGGGCCTCCGTGGTGGCCGGGGGGCCTGTGGTCATCGGGCGGTCCGTGCGGCGGGGGAGGCGGTGGCGGGGGCATTAGGGGCCCGTCGATGCGCTCAGACACGTAGTATCCTTTTGTCGGCGGCAGCGCCATAATGCGTCCTGAACACAATACGTACAATCATACATTTTATAGTTATCTTATAAGAATAAATGTCGAGAAGAATACAGAATAATAATTTCTTCTATAACTCAGATGTCAAGGTACAACTACTTCTGTTTACATCAATCGAATGGTCTATAACTATAGCTGTCGACGTCCCTACCTTGCCTGACGTTGTAAGGGGGCGCGGAGACCGCCCACTCCTCGAGCAGCGCGGACCAGGGCCCTGGCACTCCCGCGTCCAACGCGCACGTGTCCAGCGTTGAATTGTTAGCGCTCACGCCGGCCGCGCATACCAGCGCCACCCACAGGCACGCCGCAACAAACATCGCCATCTGAATACACAAAGTTAAAGGTTCTAAACAAACATTGCATGATTTTTGCCAACTATCAGCGAGAGTTAGGGTCCGTTCACACAGACCGAGGTGGAGATGGAGATTTTTTGATATGATGATGATGCTTGAAATAAACTTAACTTTAAAAAGGCTTTGGAGGATCTTAGTTGGTACTACTTTAATAGCTATCAAAGGTAAGCACAAAAAAGATACTACACGTTAAAACTAAATTAATACGTAGGTATAAATTCGTTTAAAATGTTCGCCCGCGACTAGCATTTACTGCTTCACTTTCGCCTGAATCACAAATCTCTTAGTCGGTCTTTTACTAACTTTCGGAGCTTTCACACCACACGCTTTAACCTTTGTATATTGTATTTAGACCTGATAGATTTGACACTTATAGTATTGATAACAAATAATAATGAGTTAACAAAAATATTGAAGCGTGACCGTGAACGTAATGTCCGGCTCGGTTGCGACCGATGAGGTAACGGCAGCGACACTACACACTAACAATAGATTACACAATAATCAAACAACGCTGAAGGAATACAAAGACATATGTACCTACTAAAGATTCGAACGTTTAAGGTTGATTGATTGGTCCGCAATTTGCTAGGAACCTCAGCAGAGTGAAACTTTTGTTTATAAGGTATATTGTGCCATTGAACGATATGAAAAGGTAATGGGTGCAAATATCCTCTGTTTAGAGAACTATTGTGTAATGTTCGTAGCCCGTTTTTGTTTACGACACGTCCATGCGTCAGCGGAGGTTGCTGCCATTGCGACGTATGACGCGCTCCTTACGTAAGGAGAAAGCGCACGACACACTTTATCTATATCCGTTTATTAATTGCCGAAGCTTAAGGAAAATAAAAGGGTTTTATTTGTGATTATTATTTATTATAAACGAGCCAATTTAAATAAACCAATGCGTGGACGTCGAAAAAGAGACGCAAATTGCCTGCATGATATGGAAATTTACTTCAAATATTTAACGTATTGTTCTACTTCTCTTTTTTCATAGTTGCTTGAATGTTTGTTTCACATTATTAGCAACCGTGTTGTGACAGTATAATATTCAGATTTATGTGGATAACTGTGGACGTGACGAGTTGCGCTGAAAATATCAAATGTCCAAACTGGTCAGATAAAGCGATAAAGTTTAGGATTATTGTATTTTTTGCTTTTAGATAAGTTATCCACACATGTTACTGTTTTTTTACTTCCGCAGAAAGATGTTATCGGCCAAATAAGTACTTATATAAAATTATATATATGCGTGCGGGCTACGCTACGACTTGACATTTCAAAGTTTTGGAAAAATATATTTTATACAATGTTTAGTCCCTATATAATTGGTGGGTACAGTTATTTTTGAGCGTCGCTTTCTTATACTTTTGCTAGAGCATAAATAAAACGAGTTGCTGCTGAAGAATTAAGAATAAGAAACGAAGCAGACAAGTTACATAAATTCGTGAAGTGAGACTGACATCGCAGCGGTCAGAGGAAGATTAAGATAACTGTCAGAATTGACAAGATTTTGTTGTTTGTCGCGAAGATGATGACATATATTATCAATAGAAGATACAGACACGTCAAGATAACGAAATGTCTACAAAGCACTCGATATTTTAAACGATTCAGTCGATTTACTTCCGCGATCCTCATCTCTGTTAATATCTTAAGCTTTGATAGAAACAATTATTGACCTAATATTGATATGTACAAGTACTAAACAAAAACCTTTTTTTTGTACTTGAACGTGTCAATATTTTTGAACGAAATATTCTCGTCTCATTGTGAATCGTTGAGATTTCTCGAAACACTATCGACAAAGACTACGAAATAACCAAAAAGTACATTTCTTCTGATAAGGGAATATAATCAGATAAAATAAATAAGACGCGTAAACTAATAAAAAAAACCCGTTGGAATTTTGTGCATATCATAGCATAGTAATATCAGGCCTATTGTTTATTCACAAAACAAATGAAAAAATACCAATTGGTTTTTTTTAGCGACGTGAAAAATTATTTCTAGAACAACAGATAACAGCAAATATTTTAATGCTACTATACTTGTCAATACTGTTTAGTTCAATTCTCTTAAATATATATCTTCTGGGATAAAGAACAGATTATGTGAGGCTTGAATCAGAAATTTAGTGCCTGACCTCTACTACGGTGAGAGAAGGTCCCGATATTTTCAAAGGAATTATCTAGTTCGTGTTGGGTTAATTCCTCGAACATTGTAAAATAGGATACATGGATATGAATACATAATAAATTCTAATTTATTTGAATTAAATAGTTGTTTTATTTTCAAAAAATGTCTTACTATTAAAAATATTTAAGTATACCAAAAAATCGTCGCAAAAAAACCTGCAATCTTTTGATTTTGCTTACTGTTGAAGACTTCTAAATATTGCAAAAATAAAATAAGAAAGTCACAAACACTCACTGATAATAAATTCCGTGAGACTAAGAGCGCGTAAATTTCTTCGTAAAGCACTTTTCCCGAGAGCACAGACGCACAAGCACCGCCTCACACGACCGCCGGAGGCTGACTGCAGCTCACAGCAGCTCAGCTCAAAGTCAGTCAGTGTTCAGTCGTGGTTTACAATCGTAATGCTACGAGGTGATTGTTTATATTTAAATTAAAGGGTGATTGTTTTTCAGCATGATTTACGTTTAAAAATAACTATCTCTCAACTGTTTACAAGAAGCATCCTTTATTTTCCTATGCTTGAGTTATGGAAGTAACAAGGTGGCTGATAGTGGAAATTTCATTCATCAATATGTCATCGGACTTCTTGTACGAAACAACTATTCCTCTGGTCTATCAGGATGATGTTTACCTACGTTGGATTGTTTGTAGTTATTGTGACGTGATGCAGTTGGCATTACACTGGTTGTCGGGGTACAGCGGGCGGCGCGGGCGGTGCGGGCGGCGTGAGAGTATAGGTATTGCGTAAGAACAACTTTCATGCAAGGTCGGCTCTGAGGAGAGAGCGTCTCTCCGGACTTTTGCATGTAAACATCACATAGGCCACGCTTGCTCAGTAAACGAGATGATCCAGATACTTTGTTTATAACAACGGCTAGCAATTGCCCGCGACTTGGTCTGCGTCTCGGGGGGAATTATTAACAAACAAAAAATTAAATGTTAATATTATTAAGTGTACCTTAACAATAAGGATTTTAATCCATAAAGTTCTGTGTTCAAATCAGTTTTTTTATCAATCAACTATTTGTAAAGATTACTCTTAGCCTAGCTTTTATTGTAGTGAAAAAATACAAGTAGTTTAAGCAGGTAATTGTTATTCAAAAATGATTATCAAAAGAATAAGGGTGTGTCCTCACACAATCGAGCAATATTGTCACCTTTGTTTAAATGCTTTTTACATTCAATTGTAAACAAAACTAAATTTCCTATAAAACGTTTAAAACATTTACCAGGATTTTATGCAGAAAACCAACTTGTGTGAATGTCCAATTATCTTATTATCGTAAATACGCTTTCTATTTAATTTACGATCATAAAAATTATGTTTGTGATACTTAAGTACCAAATATTCATTTGAACAACACAGAAAAGAGAAATTTATATTTAAAAACGCCTACCAGTTTTTTAATCTAGATGTAGTGAGAGGTGAGGTTGGTGAACGCAATCATAGAAAAATATATATAAGTATAATTGAGGCACAAAATTAAATGATACAACACATATTAAAGTAACGAAATTTATAACAATTCAAATAATACTTTTAACAATTTCTGAAAGTAAAAATTATAATATGGACGGTTACATTGTTTGATATTATATCTATACGTAATATTTTTAGTACAAATTTCAAAAGCAACATTAGTTTTTTAACCAAACCAATGCAGATTATACAAACATTATAATATATGAAATTGTATATTCGTATAATCTATGATTTAGTTTTGAAATCAAAACTATTGCAGTCAATATGTTTTCCTAATGTTGAAAAAATATAGAATTTGGTAGATGTGTTATGTCATACAAAAAAGTTAATAGTAAATTTTAAAAAGATTTCTAAAACATTTTTATTTTAAATTACAATATATTATAATATTACTATATATATATTTACATCGTTGAGTTACATAAAATACAGTTTACTTAGTAATAGTTACGAGTACATATACTTAGGTATAATACTTACCTAATTCTTGTATAAACAATTAACAATCTCAGACAAATACATTTATTTGGTAAAGTTTCGTTTGATATTTGGTTACGTTTATAATATTTACATAAACAAATAATTAATTAAAATATGAAATATCTACGTATATAAAGAGTCCGCTCTGTGATTCAGAACAAACGTTTATGTTGTTTTATATTTATTACAACATTTATATATTTTAAAAACAGTAAAATTGGCAAGACTTTTTACTTAAAATATTATCAATTCTGTTTGTACATATATTTAATAACAATAAAATAATCTGTAAGTCCAATTGTTCTTTATGTTAAGTTGCCATGTTGTACATTTTTCACACTGCTCAGTGTGCAGCTCAATGTGCAGCTCAATGTGCAACTCAGTGTGCAGCTCAGTGTGCAGCTCAATGTGCAGCTCAATGTGCAACTCAGTGTGCAGCTCAGTGTGCAGCTCAATGTGCAGCTCAGTGTGCAGCTCAGTGTGCAGCTCAATGTGCAGCTCAGTGTGCAGCTCAGTGTGCCGCTCAGTTGCAGCGCGCAGGTCAGAAGTAGACGGTGAGGTTCATGTGCTCAGTCACCGCGGAGTTGGTCGCTTCGTTCACTTCCTTGTCCGGTTCCCCCTGACAACACAGAAACATGTTATTTTATTCAATAAAGAAATAAGTTTAATGTGAGGTTTGAGTGACGCGCGATGTGCACCTGCGCGTCGTCCCAGCTGAGCTTCTTGACGCGCGCCGGGATCACTGCGCTCGGCCACGCCACGCCCGACCTCCCCGCACCCCGCGCGTCCAGGTGGTCGCTCATCAGCGCCGCGCCCCCCGCACCCACCGCACCCCCACCACCCACCGCACCCCTCGCCGGCGTCGGCGGCGCGGGCGCCACCTTGCTCTTGGCGGGGAACCTGTGCGACATCTTGCTGTTCACTGTCGCACCTGCAATGTTAAACACCTTCGTACTCGACTGAATTACACAGACATAACATTTGATGATACATATTTATGTTAGTTAATATATATCCTCACAGGGCGGGTCGAGGCGCTCGAGACTTGCCGTGGAGCCGGCGAGGATGGTGCTGGCGCCCGCCGACACGCTCAGCAACGAGCCGGACCC